GGATGCATCGTACCTCTTCTCCCCCCCCCTCCTAAAAGAGCATGAAGACAGCCACAAGAACACAGCCAGGGCGGCCTCACTGAGAGCTGTTGCCAGCCCAGGAGAGGCCCGACCACTGCCTCCACCTTGTAATTGAGTTATTTGGTGGCCATTTGCAGTTCAATTGAATCACTCGGTAAGCACTGACTATCTGTGCTTCCCAGCAGCCCGGTGCCCAGGGGCCTTCAGATTGCACAGGCTGAGCCTTCTCCCTCGTCCTGCCAGCCTGTGATAGGCTGCATCTCCCATTCGGTGCCAAAGGCAAAGCATTGTGACGGGCACCTGAGGTGGGGAGGGGAGAGGCAGACAAGATCCCCGCCCTCAAGGGGTTTGCTGATTAATTGGAGACAGCAGGGAAAGGGACCTTCACTATATGTGAGGCCTTGTAAGCTGTGTGTAATGTTTCCTCCTTCCTGGACATCAAGCAATACTGTTCTCAGGTGGTAGCTGGTCCCCAATCACTTTTCCATTACAGAAATCAATAACTTGAATTACTCCAAAATAACGAGTACCTCCATCCCCCTCCAAAACTAATTTTTTTCTGTGTCTGCGTTTGCCCATGTGCTTTACTCTGGGTCTGGAATCTGTCTTATGAGTCAGTCCCTGTCTGACAGTGACATGCTGAGGCAGACTGAGGCAGGGTTCAAAGTCGGGGACTTAGGTTCGAATCTTTGGTCTGAGACGTTGAGCTCTGGCCAAGCTACATAGCAACTCAGATTCCGAGTATTACCACCCACCAGAGTGTTAGAGGAGTAAGTGGAGTACTTATTAATGTTCCTGCATATATTAGGAAATCACTGAAGCCTTGGATAAACACCCGTTCAGTCCATGTGAGTATCTGAAATCTTCTGTAAAGCTGTGTCTCGAGCTCATGGCATAATGAGATCTCAGTGTCACTTCCACAATAACATTGACATTTTATATTGAGGAAACCAATTATTGTTTACAACGATGCGTTCTTGGGATGCTGCTGATTACAAATGACCAAGCACAGACTCGGGGATTTTAAGGGAGCGGCTGGGGTGGGGGAGGGAGGTCCTCTGGCTGGTGCTGCCCTCTGATACCTTCACATTTGTCCATTCCTCTACCATCCCTGATGCAAAACCACAAGCCCTTGAGCTACCCAAGGTGCTATGCGCTGCATCCTGGATCCTGCATCCTGCAGATGCTGAAATGGCAGGGCCTTTGAAGGACCTCTTGAAAAAAGCCGTGAGCACGACACACTCTGCCCTTGACGCTGCCTGGAAAAATATAGCCTCCTGGAAAGGGATATGTGGAAACCCTCAAAGGCCACACTCTGAAAGCCAGAAAAGATACTGGCATTACAGACCACCTATTTCATGTCTGGCATGTTTCCAGCCATTTTCTGAGTCTTCCAAACCAGTTATCCTTAACCTTTCGAGGTTGGCCATATGCATATGTACCTTGGAGAATCCACCGAGAGCCATGGATTGTGTCTCCCAGACAAAGGTACTGATTATGCACATAAACAAGTGGAGGCCTTGGAGGTGGAGGTTAAGGTTAAGACCTGGCAGCTGGGGATAGTGGCACACGCCTTCAATCCCAGCACTCGGGAGGCAGAGGGAGGCGGATCTCTGTGAGTTTGAGACTAGCCTGGTCTACAGAGAGAGTGCCAGGACAGCCAGAGAGCTACATAGTGATACCCTGTTTTAGATTTTCTTAGGCACCAGGGACCTTCAGCTGGAAGCCTCAGCATATCAGATACTTTAGTATACATCCACAACCCACGGCAAATGGGAGCCACACACACATACGCATGTATATACATATGTCATGTTGAATTGCACTTGTCTGATTTGGCATGAGACATATTAATAGATCTTCAATAAAACATGAATTTCAATGTTGTGCTTTCTTTATCCTTCTTGAATCAATAAACTTCAGTTAATTTTACTAAAAAATGCCGGGTGGTGGTGGCGCATGCCTTTAAATCCCAGCACTCGTGAGGCAGAGGCAGGCGGATCTCTGTGAGTTCGAGGCCGGGTTGGACCGATAGCCTCCAAACAATACAGAGAAACCTTGTCTCATAAAAACCCCAAAAAATTTTACTAAACAATAAAACAGAAAAATGCATAGATCTCATGTGTACAGTACACTGAATTTTTAAGAAGTGAGATCCCTATAATACCAGCTCTCTGGCCCTGAAGCAGAAGAGGGGGGCCTGAGGGTCCCCAGAGCCCTCTCCTCTACCAGCCTCAGTAGCGGAACAGTCATGTTAGTTTTTTCTTCATAGGCAACCGAGTCTGTCTTTGAATTTGTCCCAGGCTGTGGCTGATTCCTTTTGCGGAGCCAGTGTTTTTAATCCAGGTCTCGGGCTTAGGTCTGAGCAATCATGTGAAATGTTTTCTTATTTGATGACCGAGGAAGCAGAGGCTGCCTACAAGGTGTCTTGTTTGGAGTCACCTTTTCAGCATCTTGTCCTTGGGGGGCTGGGAGGCAGCAGCCAGGTGGGGGTGCTTCCTACAGGGACGACCTGGGATGTGGGAGAGGAATTCCCAGACCAGCAGTTCCCGAAGCTGCTGAAGCTGGATGTGGAGGGAAAGAGTGGCTGTCCCGGGTCTCCTCCCTTGACTCACACCTCTGGAAGCCACAAGCAACAGTTGCTGGCTCAGTTAGGGTGGTTGAGAAAGTTTTACGATACCTGAGTGGCTTTTCTGCAGTCTTTTGGCTCTCAGATGCAGTACATGATACCGCCACTTGGCGGCACCTCGAACTTCTATAAACTCCGTGGTCCTCCTGTTACACAGGCCCTACCTTTAACCAAACCAGCAGAGGAAGGCCAAGGCACGCAGCAAGGGAAGACCACGCACTGAAAGCTGCCTGGAGTGTGACATGATGGTTGTGCCCTTCAAAGGGAACCAGGAATAACCAGTCCTTTTGGGGCTTGTGTCTGGTTGTCAAGGGGTAAGTGGTGACATGGCTACAACCAGCCAGAGGGGACAGGCCACTGCTTTAAGAACGGAGGCAGCAGAAAAAGCCACCCTTCATCAGATCTGCAAAGTCAGGTCTCCCCTGCCATCCACTGGGCTCCCCCTGTGGGTCCTACATGCCTGTGAGCACAGCCCATTCATATCCTGTGATACTGGGCATGGGGGTGCCAGGCCTGCTTCAGAACCCAGACTCCAACAGCCCCACGTTCGTCCCTGGGATCTATGTCTCCAGTGTCCGAGTAACTGCGGGACCTCTGAAGCTGGATACGCTCCTGCCCCTGAGGGACCTCTGAAGCTGGATACACCCCTGCCTCTGAGGGACCTCTGAAGCTGGGTACACCCCTGCCCCTTTCTGTCACTTGCAGGCTCCTTCTTAGATGCAAAGCCAAGTTCTGCTACTCCCTCGAGTAAACTGGGGCATTTAGCATCTGTGTGTGTGCCTTATCTGTAGGATGGGATAGAAATACCCACCATGGAGAGTTTGCTAGAAGGTCTAAGCAATGAATGATGTATGGCTTAGCCTAGTTAAGGCCCCAACACATAAGCATAAACGAATGCTAGCCACCATTTTTCTTCCTTTTAAAAAGGGTTTTCTTTAAATGTGTATGAGTGTTTACATGCATGTATATCTGTGTATCGTGTGTGTGCCTGGTGCCAAAGGAGGCCAGAGGAAGGTGCTGGGTCCCCTGAAAACAGAGTTACATCTGTGAACAGGCATGCCGGTGCTGGGAACTGAACTCGGGTCCTCTGGAAGTGCTCTTAACTGCTGAGCCATCTGTCCAGCACAGCTGCGGTTATCACCATTATCATTGACATTTGAAAGTGGGAGAGTTGAATGCCTCTCAGCAAGTCAGGCACCGGGAGCGGGGTGTTGGGTGAATTTTTACCTGTTCGGAAATCCCAGACTTCTTCACTAAACAGCTTGACTGAGGTTCAAGCCTGACCTCAGGCTACAGCAAACTTCCCACCCAAGCAGAACTGAAGCATGACCCTCCCTGCCAGTGGAGCAGCTCCCCACCCACCCGCTCACATCCCAAGACTGATCAGAGGCAAAGGCCCACAGGGCTCAGGTGCAGAGCCAGGTGTCCCTTAGAAGCAGCAAATGGAAACTTCTGAGCTACCTATTCCACACCACCCAGAGGCCACCTCCCTCTTGGACCCACTCCAGGACCAGAACTGTGGTTCCTGTGGTCTAATGAGGACCTCTCTGGATCAGATCCTGACCAGAGGATCCATGTGGCCTAGCCCCACCACAGCCTCAGGCAACTCCTATCGGGGAGGAAATCCCTGCTTTAACTCACCCACCAGCTCTATAACCAGGGGCACGTTACTCAACCTCGAGGCCTTTGAGAAGATTCGGCTAATCTTTAAAATCCTTGTCTCTAGAATATGGTTTTAGAAAAGTGTCTGGTATATCATAGGTGGTTAATGCTTGGATTTGTGATTTCCAAGGCATAGCTATGCTAGTTTCTAATATCTGCTTTCTCATCTTTTCAAAAATGAATGTATGCATATATACATATACATGTATATATATATGTGGGGTGAGGGTTACACGCGGTCCATGGTGTACATGTGTAGAGATCAGAGGACAATTCTGTAGAGTTGGTTCTCTCCTTCTACCTTTACTTGGGTTCCAGAGCTCAGACCTAGGCATCAGGCCATCCTGCCCACCCATTCTGGTCTTCAGGGATGAAGATGGCTGGTGTGATTCAACCCAGACAGTGCCTGACCTAGAGGAGCTCAAGAAACAGGCCCTACCTAGCCCACTTTTGGCTTAGCTTTTACTTGAACCTATTGTGTCTACCCAGCGTTGCAAATCCACCCAGATTAAGGAGTGGTAATGTGGGGTGTCTGCCTCTGCCCAGACCCACAAGCTCCAGGGAGACAGAGTTCATCCACCCATGTTGTCTGTTTCTTCTCACAATGCGCTCAGCCCAGCGTCTCCGCGTGAACCCGGGATGCAGAACTAAGCCCACCACCATGGACTAGTGGAAACAGCACGGAGCCTCAAGCTGGCAAGTCCTTTTATTGGAAAAAGAATAAAACAAAAGGTCTCCATTTTGCCTCTTCCCGACCCTCCCAACAGGATGTGCTAGGTCGGACACAGTGCCTGGCCGCACAGCAGGTTAGAGGACACGGGCTTCTGCTAGGAGTCAGGGGCTGCCGCTTGGGAAGAAGGGGTTCATTGCACCAGGGCTTATCAGGCTCGGGGTCCCCGGGGCTTCAGGAGCTTGGCCAGTCCTCTCCATCTCTCTGCATAGTCTCCTGATGTCACATGCTGCTGCTTTGGCCAGTAGAGAACCAGGCCCTTTCAGGCCCAGAAAGCTACCTATAGTAGCTGCTGTTTCCTGCCTGCTTCCAGCACCTCCTGCCCACTAAGGGAGGCAGCCTGCTTTCTGTCTATACTCAGGCCCCAGGACGCTCCCCCGAAAGCCACAGCACCATTGGCTGGCCAGTCCTTCTTCCCCTGCATGGCACATGTGTCTTGAATGTCCTGGGATCCTCACCTGCAGGGCTTCAGGGCCTTGACCTGGGCAGGCTGAATATGCAGCATCTGCGGCCCCACCATGTCATGGGGGCTGGGAGAGGGGCACCAAAGACCACCCAGACACTGGTTCTGTTCTCCAAGGGCCCCAGCTTTTCCTCCATTAGAATGTGAGTGACAGATCCAGAGGTGGGGGAAAGACCAGGAGGAAGAGCCAAGCCGAAGCCCGGCTTTAGGACACTGACTTACAGAGGGCCAGGAGGGACTCGAGGGGAGGTGCTGCAGACCATCTTGCGTGTGATAGAACAGGGCAGGACATGGTAGTCATTAGCCCAGCAGCCAAAGAGAACACGCAAAGTAATCTCCCTTTCCACACACACGTGCTCACATATAGACAATCTCGTTCACACAAGTGCACTTATGCACAAGCATACATAGCGTGCACACGTGTGTGAACACATACACATTCTCACTCATCCACTCAGATAAACAGGTTCGCGCACACCTGTGCACACACCCGCTCACACTCGCTTGTGCAGTCGCATACACACACTCACATTCATGCACTTGTATACTCACGTGTGCACATGCTTCCCCACCCGTACACTCACATACATACATTTGTGCCCACAATGCAGGAACTGGCCCCGGTTCAGGAGTTCAAGCTCTGTCCAGCTGCGTTCATCCACAGCCCCGGGGAACACCCCGCCCCGCCCCAGAGTCCCAGGCTGAGCACCCATATCCAGCTCCTGGTGGGGTGCAAAGTCTCCGAGTTGGGTTCTTCTTGGCAAGGCCGAGAGGATGTTTCCCCTCTGAGTGAAGGACAGGGAAATTCAGCCTTAGGAGCAGCTAGAGAGCTCCCAGGGCACCCATCCCCAGGTCTCCGAGGAGGAGGTGGGATCATTGACAAGTATAAGCCCCACGGTGGCCTTGGGCCTTAGGAAGAGCCCCGGGAAGCAGAGTTCAGGTAGACATGGATTTTAAGGGCTCAGGATCATGCAGGGTAGGGGGTAGAAGGCAAGGAAGACAGGGTTCATCCAAGCTGGGTTTTCCCCAACCCTCAGACTTCCCTAGGAAAGCCTGGCTCTGATGACTCGGACCAGCCCCATGGGAGAAAGAAAGGTCCAGGGACAGAGAGAGGAAGATCCTGCCATTGGGCAAAGGACTGGGGAAGCAGAACACCGGGTAGTCACCCTCCCTCCCGCGCCACACGGGAGGGAGGGCCCAGAGAGAGACTCAGAAGCGGGTGCTCTGGTAATGCAGCCTCCGCAGATCTGCCAGCCCCTCGCTGCGGCCATACACTTCCCTACAGGGACTCTCGGCCAGTCACCGGGCCCCCGCCCCACCCCCGCCCGCACTGCTGCTGCCGCTGCCACTGCTGCTGCCGCTACTGGAACTGCCGCTGCTGCACCGGTCCTCATAGATGGCGATCTCGATCTGAGATGATGGTTAAGGAGTCGCGAGCACCCAGCTGTTAATTGGGAAAGGGGGTGCAGTTCCAGAATGAGGCCCGTGACTGAAGCCCGCCATGCCCAACAGCAGAGACCAGAAGGCCTGAAGCCCCAACCCCCCTCCAAGCCTCAGCTAACCTTTTCTGAGAGGACACAGGGTTGGCTGCACAATGGGATCCCACGTTTGGCCTTCCTCGAGATGCATGATGGGATCTCAAGTCACAGGAGCGCCGGGAAATGGTGTTATAATATAAACACTTCCGTTTGCTGATCCCTACTGGCCCACTCAAGTTAAGCCAGTTCCTCCCCCCCCATAATAACATCACAGATGCAAACTGGGGGCACTCCTGTGCAAATTAAATGGAGTACCTGAGCGCTAAGCCCAGTGAAAAAGAAGCGTGGTGAAACTTGTGTTTCTAGCTCTCAGCTTTATTGCACAATGTGTTATTTTACTTATTCTGTTTCTGTTGCTACTGAATGGGGAGCTGTTCACCTGAACAACTGTTTCAAGTGAGGTCTCAGAACCGTCTCCACCCCCTGCCCAGCCTGTCACTAAGATGGCCACCCCAGAGGAGCAACCCCATCCTGAATCCCATTTTTCTCATCTGTGTTCAGTGGGTGCTGGGGCTCAACACGGAGTATTAAATGAGATTGTGGAAGGCTTGCAGGTTCTTTGAGACCAGACATCATTACAGGTTAAAAGAGCCTGAACTCAAACCCTGACTGACAATCTGCTGCTTGAAGGTAAGTGACAGCCAGGTTGCCTTCAGTGTCCTGGTGTACACAGGACCCACCTCTTGGGGATGTGTTGAAAAATCACATGAGATTTATTTTACAAAGCCTTTGCATGCTGGCTGGCTTATGTTAAGCCTTGGTGGCATGAAGTCAGTAAAAACAAAGCCTGAAACTCACAAGTGGCCCCAGGAGCTGAAGGTTGAGGGGCACCTATGACCAGTAAGTATTATGTGGGATCCTGGAATGCCCCTCGGGAGGTTCCTATTTCCTAGTAACATCCTCAAGGGGCCCACGGGGTAGACTGCTCTGTGCCCTCACACGGAAGAGCTTGGAAGGATACAACCCTCATCCCACGTTCCACTGGATCCGTGAGCAGGAGCCCTCGAGGAGCAAAGACCTTCTCGTTCTGCTCTTGGATGTAACGGGAAATCTTCTTGAGAACCTGCAGAAACAGGGGTCCATAAGGGCGGGTCTGTGGCGGGGAAGCTGGGGGCGGGAAGATGAGGCAGCATCACCTTCTCATAGTGGGTCTCCGTGCAGAGGAAGATGAAGTAAGCTGTGGCACAGGCCAGGCAGCCCTCCAGGTAGGAGCTGCCCCCAATCTTCTCAGCCTCTGCATAAAAGCCATTGAGGGTCTTCACCGTCTCTTCAAAGAGCTGCCGCTCGATCTGGAGGGAGGTAGACTGTTAGCCTCCCCAACGTGGGGACAGTCCGGTGGGGCCGGGATAACAGCGCTGGGGTCACATGAGTGAAATACAGACACACAGGCATGACCAAGAAACTGCAGGGAGAGCAGACAGAGTCCCGGGAGCGGAAGACCTGGAGTCCAGTCCAGACTTGTCCGCTAACTAGACGTGTGGCCCTACAAGTGGCTTGCCCATGGTGTTTTGGTTTCCTCGTCTGTAGGATGGGAACAATCATGGCTGTTGGGCTCCCTTGGGAAGAGGAGACTCACGATGTCCCAGAGCAATGGTTCTCAACCTTCTTGATGCTGTGACCCTTTAATATGGCCTTCGCGTTGTGGTGACCCCAACTATAAGGTTCTCATTGCTACTTCATAACTGTCATTTTGCTACTGTTATGAATCATAATGTAAATATCTGATATGCAGGATCTCTGATTTGTGACCCCTGTGAAAGGGTTGGTTGACCCCCTGCAAAGGGGTCTCCACCGACAGGCTGAGAACCACTGTCCTAGATGTTTTATGCTGAAGTTCACAGAAGTACTCTGGTGACGTCACTGTGGTGGCTGTGCCAGAGCTCAACGGCAAATTCCCACAAGCAGATTCTCCACGTTTAGAAGGGGTTTCAGCTGCTTGTGACTGACAGTGGGAACTCTGGAGCGCTTTTCCTCCCAGCTAAGAAGCCACTAGCCACTAGCCGCCACACTCGCTGCACGCCTGCCTGCTTGCTTGCTTGTGTGTAGCTAGTGGTTTGGCCTGTATCCATAACAATAGGAAACACTAGAACTCTATGCACCAGCCTTTTCACAAACTCTCCTATAACCTCAAAAGCGTTCTTGTCACCCCTACTCTCTGACAGGTGAGGATTGCTCTGTGTTCCTGAGACCACAAGAAACACGCGGCCCCATCTCCAGCCTCCCTGTCCTTACCACTGCTAGCTTCCTGTAAAGGACAGGCTGGCTAACTTGAGAACAGGATGCTCTCTGTTTTCCAAGAGCCATTGGGGATTCAGTCAGCAAAGACCAGCTGTGCCTCACCTTTCAGACCACCTCAAATTAGCCTGGTCTACAACAGAAGCCAGCACTGGGCCTCTGCCCTCCTCCAATCCCAAATCAGCTCTAAAGCAGCCCCTGATAGGAACTGTACACCCTCAGAAACGGGCAGATCACAACCCTTGGCTGACTGCCTTAGATGCTGCCAGCAGATGAAACTGGGACTCCCTCCCGTCTTTTTTTAAGGCAGGTAAAAACAAGGAAAGCAGTCCCCCAGCTCTTCCTCTAGGTTGCTAGCTTCCCTGCCCAGTCACACAGTATCTACTCCCCCCATACCTACTGAGGATGCATTGTATCTACATTGGGGTGGGGGATGCAGAAAAGGCAGGCACCTGGTTCTTCCAGAACTTTCTAATAACTTCGGAGAGTCACTTCCTGCTTCTAGCCCTGAAGGACTCTTCTGTTTCTGAAGCTGGCAATGTGTGCGTGTGTGCACAACCTAAGGCTCTGGCTAAGACACGTTCGTGTTTGGGAGCTCTAGGGTAACCTTGCATTGTGTCTAAGATCCAGGTGATGCTGACCCTGTCAGTCACAGGGCACAATTTTGAGGTAAAAGGTTAGTGGTCATGCTCAGTGCTGGCTACACACTAAATATCACTTGGGCAATTTTTAAAGACATGCTGCACCCAAATCTCATGCCCAAGAGTGAGGACTCAGATAGTCTGGGAAGGGGAGGGAGAGGTCAGAGCAGCAAATACTACTGTCCCATTTCCCTACCCAAGAAGATGCCTTGTCTGGTCCGCCACTTCCCAAAGCTCACAAGTGGCCCCACTCCAGCCAAGAGTGCAAACAGGCACTGTGCTGGACAACAGGCTACTGCCCAAGCAAGATCTAGGGACCACTCAATTCCTACTCTCCTGAGAATTCCTCATTTAAAAATTGAAGTCTGAATAATTATAATTAAAATAATTTTTAGTTACCTTAAAAATTAATTTGCAAATTAAGATGCAAAACAATGCCAGTGTCTAGGCCCTATTCCCAAAGATTCTGACTGAAGTGCTTTGGGGTGCACCAAGATTTTTTTCAGCTCCCCAGAAAATTCTAGTGTGCAAGCCAAAGTTAAGTACAGCTGCCAACAAGAGGAGATTCCTAAGCCACAGGCCAGCAACTGAGTCAGCAAAGTCTGGTGATACCCAATCTCACCCACGAGGATTCTAGAATTTACGTTTGTTTAACAAGTTTTCTAGAGAAGTCTCATACAAGGGTAATTTGAGTTGATGGATTGAAACAAGTCTGAGGTTTTGCATTTTGTTTTGTTTCTCAGAGAATTTTCTGTGTGTAAATGCAAGACAATGCAATGGATTTATCATTCTTCCCATTTGAGGCAGCTAAGTCATACATTTTGTGGTATTATGTGTCACATAATATTGGAGAAAAATACCTCCTAAAGAGACCCCACCCTCACCCCCGTGCCATCATGGAAGTAGGGCTCATGTTTAGAAAAAGCTGTCCTCACCCAAAAGGTGCCCTTACCCGGCTATCCAGCTCCGGAGGGAATTTGGTCTGGAACTGACAGATGGTGCCATCGCTGTAGTCCCTCTGGATAAAGACCTTAGTAGCCAGTGATGCACTTCGCCGGAGCTCCTGAAGATTGTGGACCTGAGGAGATGGGCGGGAGGCACACTTAACGGGACCATTGTCTCGCTGTACTAACAGGAGGGCTCTCCAGCATTGCTGAGTCCTGGCACACAGGGATGGACTGGTCACAGCTAGGCTCCAGGAAGAGCCTGGAGAAACAGGCCCTGTGCAGGTTACATGAGAAGCTGCCTGAGGCCACCACAACGACTCTGCAAAAGCCTAAAGCAGGAGCAAAGCTGGGCCAAAGTGAGGCACTCAGAGCCATCAATCACAGCAGAAACGAGTTCTAAGGAGAAAAGCAAGGTGCAATGGCCGCCAGCCCTGTCCTTGGAGAATGCAGCACTGGTCAATATGGAAACCTCAGTCCCCACAAGTGGAGTTCGCAACCAGACTGGGGAGTGTGGCATGTGGAAAGAGGAAACCTTGATATTTCCCTGAACTCCAAGGGATACTGACAACCAGACCAAGTTCCGAAAGGCCAGGGAGCACCCCCAATGGTTTTCTTACCCCCAGAAAAGGCCCAGGAATGGCTATTTCCCAAGAGAAAACATGAGAGAGTGACTGAGCCCAGAAACTGAAGTAATAGGTTTCCTTGTCTCTCCATCCAATCTGAAAACAACATCGACGTAACACTTGTGAGGAGTGGGCTCCATTCCATCAAAGAACAAGGTCTCTCTCTTCCACCTCTCCAGCCTCAGTCACTCACGCTAGAGACAAACCCCTCATTGGTGAAATACGCCCAGCGTTGGAGACCAGGCCCTGGAGGCAGAGTGAAGAAACAACCAGTTCATCCTGTGTAATTAAGCTGAATCCGTTCAGTCACTCCACTCTCATTTATTGAGTCCCTACCAGTGCCACGCTCTCCAGATGCTGAGCACAAGTCACTCTCTGGGCTCCAGGGAGGAAGACAAGTAAATGTGTAACGAATTAGACTGAATGGCTGAAACAAAGTCATGTTAACCCAGAAGTGCTTATCCACGAAGGCTTCCTGGAGACTGTTAACCCAGAAGTGCTTATCCACGAAGGCTTCCTGGAGACTGTATTGAGCCCTGTAGGAAGGTTAGGGATTGGTTGGCAGTGGCAGGGGATGACCAGAAGAAGACAGGGGAGGAAGGGTGACCCTGGAAAAGAGAGTAATGAAGACAGCAGAACATGATCTGCTCCGGTGGCTTGAGGCAGCGTTTGACAAGCCCAAAGCTGGTTTGCAGAATAGATAGAGTCAGTGGGAAATGAACTTGTACTGCAGTCAATGGTAAGATCACAAATAGGATGGGTCTGGGCCAGCAGGAAAGAGTGCAGGTAGAGAGGCCTAACAGCTGAGGGAGAGAGATGGGTTGACAAGACAGAAGGATGATTGGTGTATCGAGGTCTCAGAAATGTAGCAATCAGAGAACATTACATAAGGCTTTCCTGAATTCAGGTAAACTTCGCTTCAAGCAGAAGTTTGGATCTCAAAGTTTTGGGAATGAATTAAATAGCATGTAAGTATGCCTCCAGTGTTAATATTTCTTGATCCCACTAGCCAGGATCTTTGTTGAAAAAGTCTCCTTTTAGCAGGGTGTGGTGGTGAACACCATTAATCCCAACACACATGAAACAAAGGCAGGAGGACCTCTGTGAGTATGAGGTCAGCCTGGTCTACAGAGCGAGTCCAGAACATCCAGAGCTGTTAAACAGAGAGAACCCTGTCTGGTGGGAGTCTTCTTTTAATGTCTACTAGAATCTTACGATAATTTTGAAAAAATCAACATGCTTTGGTACTATAACTAAGTCTCTCATCAGGGTCTCTCTCCATCTGGTTGTGGTTTCACTATAACTCATTTTCATGAGAAATGAAAAAGACTGTGGCCTTCTCTGCCCTTCCAACGCCAGCACACAAGAGCCAGCCATGGATTCCTTCAGCCCTGGAATGATCATTCTGACAATTCTGTGGGAGTGTGTAAGCCTGCGGGACTGGCTGGAAGATCATTTTGTCATACTTCAAGGCAAAGATAAAAGAGTGATAAACCACAAAAGGTGGTGTGAGGATGGGAAGGACAGAAGGCAGGAGCAATGCTGCAGCCGTTCTGACCTGGACATGGCTTCCTGCCAAGGGCAACATCTTTGTGTGAGCCTGCACGCACACCTGTGTATACAGATGTAGGTGATACCATGAGCCATGACAGTGTGTCTCTTAGTGACTGGTTGTCCAATGACCAGCTATTTCTTCTTCCTCCTAGTTACACAACTTAATTCATTCCAAGGCTTCCTCCCTTGCAAGCTGGAGTGGCCACATGCTGAGCAAAGTGAGTGGAATTTATGAATACCCTATTTGATTCATACAGACCTGAAACTCCTCCCTGCTCCCAAAACCAGGGGGGTCAGGTATTGAAGGCAGTGCAACGGGAAAGGGCCTGGGTCCCTGAATGCCTGCTGATTGGGAACCCCCCCCCATTCAAGACCTTACTGAGAAGTAAGTAATCAATTGTTAAGATGTTAGGTGCTGTCTCACATAATACAGACCTATTTCCTCTTGACTGATTCATTCACTCTCAAGTCCCTGGAGTGGGAGGGGTCAACACCCTCCCTAGCCACAGCAGTATCCTAAACCTAAGAGTCTGCACTGGCTCCAGGTGACTAGGAGTCTGATTCTGCTCCTGGTGGAGCAGATGAGACACATTTTACATGTAATCACCTTGGCATGCTACATGGCACACATATCACACGCTCTGACAGAGTTGGTGAAGAGTAGGATTTTAGACAAGAAAGGGTCTTCTGGTTCTCTCCATCTATGGTGGTTCCATCATGAAGTACCAAGGGTTCAGGCAAAAAGCCTGTTGAACAAGTGGCAGGAGAGACCTAATCTTGGGCCACATGACCCTTGAAAAGTCTGCCCTTCTCTGGCACTCATTTACTCAAAGACACTAAACTGGAACCCCATAATCATAACCCCTCCCATCCCCGACTTCAAAGAAGCCTTATCAGCAATGGTGAACACAAGCATTTACAGAGACAAGCGGTCAGTGGGCTGGGTAATATAAGAGAGCTAGTGACTGTGTCAGAGAGCCAGCTGGCCATTGCCATTGAAGAATGCATACCCAGGGACCTGACACTTGTGATTTTTTTCAAGAGAAGCCACAAGTCCAGATTATTCTTAGTGTCAGGTATCCTGATTTCTAAATGTTCCCACTGATTTTTTTAATGTGTGAGCACTGAGCAGGTTAAATAAGGATCCCCTATGAATACAGACTTAACTCTATAACTCCAGTTTGAGAGTAAAGACAGAAGCTAGAGCCAGGTCCCAAGCATGTACTGACCAGCTTCTTGGGCTTCAGGAAACAGGAAGTTCTTACAGCCACCCATTACTCCCCAAGGCTGCAGAGTCTGTGTCTCCCTCAGCAGCTCCCCCTTAGAAACTCTCCAGGAGAATCTTAGAGACTCTGAGAACTGAGCTACTCCCTGTCTCTCACTGTCCTCAGCCCTGCCCCTCTCTCCCATCGCCATCCCCCACCCCCCAGTCTGCTGGCAGCTAAGATTCCTTCATGAGGAGGAAAATCGATGGTGAGATCTGTGGACACCATTTCCCAAGCCACAGTGTGAGAAGGAATGGAAGGATGCCTAGAGATGGGGCACAGCAGATGACAGTGTGTCTCTGTACACCTGCCAGCTCTTCAGGCTGGCCTTGTGCGGAGCAATCACTGGAATGCAATGAGCTCCTGGGCCTGGTATGCCTAAGACAAACAGGAGGTCCCAGCTGGTCCACAGATCCATCCACACTGAAGGCCATCTCATTCCTTAAGGAACAGTGAGGCTCGGCTCACGAATCATGGGATCCGTATGATGATCCAACCCTGTACTGGGCTGTAGTACAGAAGTGCAGATCATTAGTCACTGGCAGCCAGGTAGGACCTGAGGGCGGAAAACTGGGCACCGGGCCACCCTTCTCCGCAGCCTGCTAAACTCAAGCTCAAGCCAGTGACTCGGGAGACTAGACTTCCAAATACCCTGCCTGGGTAACATCTCTGATGTGCCAAAGCCCGCTTCAAGAAGCCCCTCTAACAAAAGTCACTCCCCAGTTTGTTCTTCGTCATTTGGACGGTTTCCCAGGCAGACCCTGCTCCTAGTGACACACATTTGCAAAGGTCTACTGCTCAGGATACGGCCTCAGTAAAGATCTCCAAATGAGGCCATGGCCTCACTCAGGAACCTTCCTCCCTCCTCTGTGTTCCTCACACACACCCTTCCCCTAACACTAACTTCTAAAAGGAATTTTTTCCATATGAAGCCCCTCCCCCTCCTCTCTCTTTTTTCCCTCTCCTCTCTCTTCCTGTCACCTCTTCCTCTGGAGCTCAGCTCCCTCTTCAGAATGCTAAGGAAACAACCATGGGAACTTGGAGTGGGGTTTTCCTTCCCCCAACAGGTTTTTCCTGGTAATTGCAAGCCAATCCTAATAGTAAAAAAAAAAAAACACCCTAGGGGGATGACTCATCCTGGCCCAGGCACCATACATCCTGTGCCCTGCTGAGCCTGAGTCCCTTCCCTGGGCACTGTTGGCAGCATCCAGACAAGGCCAAGCTGTGAGGCTGAAAATGTTTTCCTTCCATCCCAGACATTCTTCTGTCCCTCTGCCCTCAAGGTGACCAGCCAGGTCAGTCAGGGAACCTGAGTGCCTCTGGTTCAGTGATTCTCAACCCTCCCAATGCTGCGCCTCATGCTATGGTGACTCCCAACCACACAATTATTTTTGTTGCCACTTCATAACTGCAGTTTTGCTTCTGTTATGAATCATAATGCAAATGTCTGATATTTCCAATGGACCCACGTGTTGAGAACCATTGCTCTAGCTCTTCCTGGCATACCTCTCCTAACTCAAAGCCCCTCCCAAGGCCACTAGAACTCTGCTCTAGGACACATCACACTGGCTAACTGGATACACTGTCCCGGCTGCAAAGCAACAAAGACAGTGGTCGTGGAGGCAGGGTGAATTATTGTCTTGACACTGCAGTTGTGTCATCTGTAAAATGGGATGATGAAGCCTTCTTTGACTCCTTTGCCAGGCCTGAAGCAAGCTTCCAAGCCTTGGTCGCTTCATCTGTTAATTGCAGATAATAACACCATCCTTTCCCACTTCACAGAGCTGCTCAATTGCTCAAAGGCATTCTGTGTGCCACAGTGCTGTATCCACAGAAGCATTATGAGCAGAGCCTCTCCCAGAGGAGAGTCATCAAGCTTACCAACAGCTTCCTGGAAACCTGGTCTGAGCCAGGAGGTGTGAGCCTGTGGGCAGAATGTGTGGGTCACAGCAGACCTGTAGGGAAGACACACTAAGACAGCCGGGCCTGTTGGGGTCCATCAGATTTCACCAGCACTGCTGCTGCACTCTGGCAGGCCTATCTGGGAGGTGACCAGCCCCTTTGGCTCCTCACATTCTTCTCCATCTCTGTGGTACTTCTGAAGCATTCTGCATTGCTGTAGAGGGGTTCTGGGAGGGTATGAGTTCCTCCTAGCTAACATCAGAAAGCAAACAATGCCAAGCAACATCAGGAGATTCAGTGGGTTCATGGAAATAGCACTTGGCCCTGATGTCACACCTCTCACCAGGAAGCCCAGAGGCATTGCACAGAATCATTCCCAGGCCTTTGCTTTCCTCCTTGGCAGTGTTCCCGCTAGGCTGGAAATGGGGAGACACCACCAAAGAAGACAGCAGCAGAACTGGGGAGACCCAGCGTGCTGTGCTGCACTCCAAAAATTCAAAGAAAGAAACTTTCAGCTCTGCTGCTAACATGCTGTGTGAGCACCAAGCCAGCCCTTCTTTCCATATGTCAGCTTTATCATTTAAAAAGAGCACAAAATGACGGGGAGGGGCAAATTCTAGGGGTAAAGACAGAAACCCTGACTTCTCAGGCATTATGACAGGATTTTGCCCTTAGCAAACAGGTCCCTTGGCCCGTAGGCACACCGTGAAGAAGACAGCCTCTCCTCATACACAGGCAGATGTGGGCACTCTGGGACCAGTAACTCAAGCAGAGAAAGAAATCAAGGAATGGTGAGTCTCAAAAGTGGGGGCGGGTGCAGGAAGTTCCTAACGCCAACCCTTGGGTTCTGAGCCTGAGGATGTCTTTGTCCACGCCCTCCTCCTAGGGAAATGAGGATGTAGAGGAAGGTCTGTCTTCCTTAGTCAAGCACTTTGGGTTAGAAGCAGGGTACTGCACCACATAGCAACAACAGCAGTAGGCCACCATCCCTCCCTTTCACAGGCGTGCAGAGATCTCCAACCCTCCAGGGAATTAGAACCCTGTGTTCAGGAGAAGGGGAAATCCCAACCTAGGCTATTGGTAACCAGTGGACTCTCCAGGGCTCAGGCGGCATGGGCAAGGTTGACATGCCAGAGGTGAGGGAACCACTACCCAAAGAAAGCCCTGCTCTTCCACGCTGACACTCCATACCTGCCCCCCAGGAGCCCAGGGAAACACCCCCTAACCCCACCCGCCCCTGCCTTTTCCATGCGCCTAGTCTGCCCCTAGTGGGGAACCATTCCCTGCGGCATTGCCTGCGGGCTAGGGTGCTGGCCCCTACCTCAGTGGCCATCTTCTGAGGATGCTGACCACTCCTCGGCTGCCTCAGGGCTAGTCCAGAGGGGCTGTCCGCGGTGCTGACTCGGAGAGCGGGTGGGCTGGCCGAGGCCAACAAGGACCTGGGTGCTGTCCGCGGTGCTGATGAGATCGCCGAAGCCCGAGGCGTGCTCTTGCGGGCAGCAGGGTCCCGCAGAGGGTGTCTGTGCTGTCCACGGTGCTGCTGCGGGAGCCTGGCCGGGGAGGCGAGGCCGCGCCCGAGGCTCCTCACCGCCCGATCGCCTGCTTCCAGGGCTCCTGCGAGCAATGGCCCGGTTTATCGTTGACAGCGGCAGCAGTGGCGGGTACGGGGGCGGCGGGGGAAGGAGGGGCCAGTGCCTCGGCGGGCGAGGAGGGGGGAAGCCGCGGCCCCCACACTCCGGCACCCGCCTGAGAGGAGCCCCGCCCGCGGCCACCGGCTCCGCTCCCGCCCCGCCCCGTCCCGACCCCGCCCAGCGCCCCGCCTCTCCTGCCTGCCCACCCCTGGCAGAAGAGCCTAGAGCTCCGCGCAAGCTATCACCGTCTCTCGGGACTTCCAGAGGCAGAGGAGAGAGGTTGGACTCTGCCGCAAGGCACTCCACTCTTCAAGAACGGACGTCCCGACCGGCCTCTACCTTTCCTAACACCCCCAACATCAGACTCTAACCCCTCCCCCACCTTGCCCCTGGCTGCCTCCTCTCTGTTTTTTTCCCCTTTCTCTTCTTTCTAGCCTGATTCGTCTCTATGCAATCTCCGAGCACCACCCGGCCTTACGTGGACATTTCCCCCTCTTTTCTGCCTAGAACCCCATTAGCTAGAGTGAAATGCTGTAGATCACAGAGAGTTTTGTTTTGTTTAATACGTGCACACATTTCATCCGCAGCTTTGTCCCTGAGTCCCTTCTTTCAAGGACCTCTAGATGGAAGTCAGCTTTTCTTTATGCTCCTACTGACCCTACACCTTACTCTTCTCCCTCCCCTCTGCCATCCCAGGGTTTAAACACACTCCCACATTATCCCATTACCACCGCTAGTCAAAAACAACAAGCAGAGTGCCAAACCGGTATGCCCACTGTCCAAAGTGGCAATCTGGCATTAGACCTTCCAATCAAATGGCTTATCTACCTAATAAGCAGAAAGAAAGCCCCAACACAGATACCCTTGAACACACCCATAGTACCCCCAAGGTCTTGTCTCTGAGGGGAGCTGGATGCCACTCTCTACATCATGGCTGCCACAGGTCAGCAGCTGCAGCCACACGGGGAAGACCCGATTCCAGCTCAGGCTTCTCCTGGCCTCCAGCCTCGAGTGGTTGTCTCACCTTCTGAGTTTATGGTCCTTTCTCTGCAGAATATGCATGGTGACCTTCACTGGCCTATAGCTAGGGTCCTTTTTTTTATTTTAAAATTTCCAAGCACACGGGTGGGGAGGGGGTGTCACAAACTGTACTGTCTAACTGCTCCCATAATAGTATTTTTACAACATTTGATTTGTTTGCTTCACTGATAGAAATAGAAGCAAGGATATCTATAATCAGACTAGATTATTAGAAATGGATGGGTTCTACAGTTTTATCCGTAAATACTACAGTATCCATCCCCTCAGACTAAGAACACTTTCCTAAACCAGGTGTAGTGGTGTGGTGCATGCCTTTAGTCTCAGCACTCAGGAGGCTAAGGCAGGCAGGGATACAAGAGACCTAGTCTCAAAAACCAAAATAACATTCTCCAATCCAATCACATTATCATATCTTTTTAAATTCCATAGTAACCTTACTATTTTAGAGTAGTTTGTTGCCCCAAAGACATATTAATAGCAATTCCTCCAGAACTTTCTATTTTTAATACAAACATTTATGGATCACTTACTGAGTGCCAGATTATATGTTCCCACTGCATATATATCTTGTAACCCCTGTGAGTTAAATGTTCTTTTTAATTTTTTAAAGTCTTTCTCTGTGTATTTGTGTGTGTGTGTGTCTGTCTGTCTGTCTCTGTGTGTGTGTGTGTGTGTGTGTGTTGAATTTGTGTTGTGAGTATCAATATGTGGATGCCACAGAGCCTGTGAGGTCAGAGGACAACCTTGAATGTCGACCTTCACCATCTATGGGGTCTTTTGTTTGCCACTGCAAATGCCAGGCTAGCTGACCCATCTCACCATGTGAGCCCTGGGGTTCCAGACATGCCACATCTGGCTTTTTTACATAGATCTTGGAGATTTGAACTCAGTTCTTCACATGCACAGCAGAACTTTACCTACTGAGCCATTTCTCCAGCCCCATTTCCATATTATAGTCATCTTTTTATTATTTCAACTCTGCAAAGGAAGAAACAGACAAGATTCCCAAGGTCTCCTAGAAGGAGGATTTAGACAAAGGCAGTCGAGCTCTAGAGGCCATGTGTGGCCTGTCCCCTAACTATACTGTGCAGACAATAAGCTGGCAGAGGACCAGCATCTCTAACTACCAATGTTTCATAAGAGCACACTGGGTCTCTAAGGATAAGTGGCATGCCAAAAATCAGCTGAAGGCAGACATTCCAGTCTGCCTTATAGCTCAGTAAGTGTTTTGGCATTAAGGTGAAAACTGTGACTGTCTGCTAATCCCATGATTGTCACCGCTAACAAGTGAGCCATTCAGTAGTGTCCAGTGTCCATGTCCTTACTATCTTCTCAGTTGACCCCAATCAGATTAATTTGACAATCATCTGAAAACCACCCTGTTCACACAGTGGCTCAAAGAAAGCCATTCATCAAATTCACCCCATTCCTTGTATCTTTGTTGGGTATTAGACTGTGTGGACTTGGGATACAGCAATGACTGTTCTTACAGTACTTGGCTGTACAGACTCTGGATACACAGACTGTTCTCACTTGCAACACATTAGAAAAGAAGTTCAGTGTAGACTTGTGATCATTGCTTGAATGTCAAGTGAGCTGTGATAAGGACACAGACAGGTTATTTCTGCAGGAATACTCAGGGGAAACTTTCTTAATAAGGTCAAACTTGGGCAGAGGTCTGAAAGAAGAGATAAATAGACATACAAATACCTAAGAAAAGAGCAACCAGGCAGAAAGGACAGAGTTCAAGAGCCCTGAAAAGGTGTGGGCCTAAGATACCTAAAAAATAGCTCCAAACTAGTCCCCATTGAACAGAGAGCAAGGGAAAGGAAGGTGAGAATTTTTTAAGTGAGAGATAACCAGGTTTTTTTAGGGCCTTACAGACCCTGCTAAGAACTTTGGATCATGGTCAAGAGAGTGACCTAGCCAAGTCGTAGAAGGTCTAGGGTAGAAACATGACATTATTCAATTGTAGGGGTTTTGTATATTTTGTTTTGATGCTGGGGTTGTAGGAGAGGCAAGGTTGAAAGCTCTGAAACCAGTTGAATTAGCTCAGGCAAGATACAGAGTTAGGTAGAGAGAGTTTAGAGTAGAGCATGTCACTAGAGGTAGTGAGAAGTCATATTCTAGATACAACTGGAAGGTAATGTGGTCACAGTGTGTGCACAGTGAGGCACCACAAGAGAACTTCCATATACTGAAGAGGCAGAGTGGAAACCTAGGGGCTGGATAAGCCCTGAAGGTGTGGGAATACAGCTTGAATTGTGTTTGGCTGATTTAGGTCTGAAGTCTGATGTAAACAGTGTAGACTGGGTGGAGAAGACATTTAGGAGTTAGGGGGAAGGATAAGAGTTAGAGATAAAACTTCTAGACCTGTGCAGACCCAAATGAGGATTAAAACCAAAGGACTAGCTGGGATTGGTGGCACACGCCTTTAATCCCAGCACTTAGGAGGCAGAGGCAGGCGGATCTCTGTGATTTTGAGGCCAACCTTATATACATGGCGAATTCTAGGATGGCCAGAGCTATGAGACAGAACTTGTCTCAACTCTCCTACCCCATCCCACCTCCCAAAACCAATAGACTAGATAAATTTGTTTAAGGATGAGATAACCAGAGAAGTTGTCAAGAACCAATCCTGAGTTGACCACTTCTAGAGTAGAATAGAAAAGAGACTAAAAGGAGGCAGCCAAGTACAAGACCCAAGAGAATGACACCCTGGCTGGGAAGGAAGCCTTACTCGTGCTGCCCAATGTTGCTCCCATCAAACCTAAACTAAGCAATGGGGGGGTGACCATTGGTTTGGCAGCAGAGAAGTCATTGGTATGCTTGCAAAGGGCTGTCAGTGGGACAGGGTGTGCTCCTGATTCAAGTGAGTGGGAAAAGAAGTAACAACCTTAGGAGTACTATGGTTGTCTGATAGAAGCCGTGAAGGTTCTTTTTGACCATGCAGACACTGGAGCTTGATGGGCACTGACTGGAAGTCAGGTGGAAAGGAAAATACCAAACACTGAGGGTTCAGAGAGGAGCAGGCAATTTCAAAAACAAGTCTTTTTTAATGACAAGGTTTCACCATAGATCCTGGCCAGCCCATTCTGTCTAGACCAAGCTGGTGTTAAACTCACAAAGATTGTCCTGCCTCTGCTTCCCAGAGTGCTGAGATTAAAGACATGATGAGCCACTACACCTGGCTGGATCAAATTCAGAGAGTGGAATGCAGGGATGACACAGAGAGCATGACTGCAGGAAACCATTGGTGCTGAAGGAACTGTGCCAATGGCCACATGCTGGTCAGATGTTGTTCTATGAAGAGGCAGGAATATTATTTCAAGATCCACTTCAACTAACTTAGAGACCTAACAGCTCAAAAGTCCATTGGACTACAAGTGTATAGAGAGCTTGACAAGCACCAAGTGGGAGTCTTTCCAGGAAAGGACACTATATAGGACTAGAACTCCAAGGCCTTGAGGTCATCTATGCAAGCACAGAGGATGGCTTTAAATGTCTAATTTTATTGACAAGAAGAGACCTTACCGGGCCTGGAGAGATGGCTCAGAGGTTAAGAGCACTAGTCGTTCTTCCAGAGGTCCTGAGTTCGATTCCCAGCAACCACATGATGGCTCACAACCATCTGTAAGAATATCTGGTGCCCTCTTCTGACCTACAGGAATATATGCAGGTAGAACATATTATGTATACATAATAAAAAATAAATCTTTAAATAAAATCTCAAGAGAGAGACCTTACCACCCTCAGTCCACTTTTCTGCATTTCCTCCAGGGTAGTTACAATCACCTTGATGGCCCCTGTGGCTTGGAGGCATCATCTCAGAAAACATAGTGAGAAGAGAGCATCACATCATGCTGACTCAGGCTGGGATAAGACACTATAGGATGGAATGTTCCCACACCCCAGTCGTCTGGGCTGTAACTCGGAGAGGCATAGAGGCCTTGAGATTTAATCTAGCTAATCGTTATTATCCAGATGCCTTGAGACAGCCAAGTCCCGAGCAGGAGCCTGGGTCTTTGATGTTTTTGTCATAAATTAATGAGTTCACCCACAAAATAACATCAAAGACAATCTACTAACTAATTCACTGTTATCATCTTCCAATCTGTGGCTGCATTGGAAAGTCTCCAAGAGGAGGAGCGTGGTCAGAAAGAGAAACCAACTGAAAGATCTGGAAAGAGATGAGAAGAAAAATAAGTCCCACATAGGAGACTGCAGAGGAGCCAGGGAAAGCATTGGCAAACCTTGGGGAGGGGCAGGAGGAAGAAGAGGGAAGACTGGGCCTGAGAGGAAAGGCATTCCATGAGTGCTCAAGGGGAAACTGTGGCCTGGTAAGTCTCAAGTGGTGTCATTGTGCAGAAGCACTGGAGGCTGGGAGGAAGTGTGTGGTAGGAACCAGAGTCTCTGGAGCCAGATTGCATGGGACGCAGCCCCTGGCTCTCTATTTACTGTAAAGTCATGTGATCACTCTCCCTTCCAGCTAGGAGCCACCAAGCTTTCTCTAGATCTTACCTGACTTCCAAACCAATCCTTTGAGAAGAAAACAGGGAAAGATTTATGTGGATACCCCGCCTGATGTCAGAGACACTTCTTCCCACACCAGCGGAACTTCCTAAAGCACAGAAAAGACAGGCACAGTCAAGCATTAGTTCATCCAGTCAGCATTTACTACCCACCTGCCATTCCCATCCCTACACAAGCACTGAATTTCAGCAGTGGTGACCAAGGATATGGTTTTTAATATGGTTTTCCCTCTAAAATGCATGGTGAGGGGCTGGAGGAATGGCTCAATGGGTAAGGCACTTGCTGTGTGAGCACGAAGACTTGCGTTCAGAACCCCAGCACCCACATTAAAAGCCAGGCATGGATGCATACATCTGTAACTGCACCATCAAGGTGGAGAGGATCAGAGACACCACAGGGGCTTACTAACCACAAGCTTAGAGGAAAAATGTCGAGTCCAGAGTCAGTGAAACACCCTGTCTTAGGGAATAAGGTAGACACACACAATGTGCATAAATATATCAATACATACCTACACATACCTGCATACACATGAAATACATACACACATAAAATACACAGGCAAAAAAAGGCATGTTGACTTTTAATCCTAATTATATTAAGAAGACCAAGTGGGACCTTTAAGAGGCTATTGAGGCCCATGCATTTAGTGAAGTAATGCATTAATGGGTGGTCTTAAGAGTGGATCTGCCAGGCTGGAGTGATAGTTCAGTGGCTAAGAACACCGACTGTTCTTCCAGAAGACCTGGCTTCAATTCTCAGCACCCACATGGCAGCTCACAACAGACACTTTCACACAAACATACATGCAGGGAAAACACAAATACACATGAAACGAAAATGAATTAATTTTTAAAAACTGGATCTGCTCTAAAAGCCAATAGGACCAGGTCTCTCCCCATCCCCTGTATCTTATTGCATGACACTCTGCTGTCACAAGACCTTGCCAGCACATTTTGCCAAAGACATTTGACCTCAGACTAGAACCGTGTTCCAAAATGAACATCTTTTCTTTGTAACTTCCCCAGTCTGTGATGTGTCAATAGCAGAAGAAAACAGACTAGGGAGACAAGAGTGGTGACACACATCTTTAATCCCAGCACTTCAGAGGTGAGGACAGCAGTTCAAGGTCAGCCTCTGGTACATACCAAGCTCAAAGCCAGCCTGGTCTATAAGAGACCCTGATGCCAAGCAAGGACTGAGATAACCAAGATCTATGATAAATGGTAACATGAAGACTTAGCCCTGAGTGGTGGAGCCCATAAAAGGATGTGGAGTTTGCACAGCACCTTCAAGGATTAGTGTCAACTTCTAGACAGCAGCCGAAGCTAAGGATGCTTGCATAGGACCTGGGGACTCAGAGTCTCTAGAACTGCAGACTGAATGAAGCAGTAGCCAGGCAGACACAAGGGCAACTATAAAGTTCCCAGAGACATGAATGAGGGGACTGCCCTAAAAATAGTGCAAGAGGAGGCAGATGGAGTCACTAGGAGGTGACTAAACCAGAGCGGGGTTGCCTCCTTTTGTACACCTCTTCCTCCTCCAGGAAGTAGGGTGGGAGGGAAAGGTCCCCAAGTAGAGTTCGTAGCCATCAGGGAAATAAAGAAACTAGGGTAACAGCAGAATAAAACTACTGGCCAAAATATTTGCCTGTCATTCCAACAGCCACTGTGCTAGAGGCTGTGCGAGCCACCTCGGGAGGCTCCTGATGGAGAGTCAGTAGTGAATGATTGACTATAGGGTCTTATGTCCACATCAAGCACGCAGGTGGCAAACTCAACAATCACCACAACCACAGCCGCTGGGAGAGGCGGTGACTAAATGAAGGGCATGATCTCAGGAAGTAGAGGCATGGGCATGAAGGGTAAAAGGTGCTTTTAAGGCTTTATTAATTACAAGAACCAACAGGGATCATGTAGTTCAAACCAATTTCAACTGAAGAACCCTTTGTTCAAACACAATCTCACATGACAGATCTATGAAAAAAAATAAGACAGGTGGATTTGGACAAGGAGAGACATGACTCATTTGCTTTCCCAACCCACCCCCCACCCTCACCCATCCCATCCCCACAAAAGTTGCCAAGGTACAGCTCCCCACCAAGGCTCTGCAGGATAGTCATTTTTAAATCATTGACGTAACGAAGGCCTACAGCTTTAGCAATCCAGATGTACAAGCAGGCAGTGGTGGCACACATCTTTAATCCCAGCACTCATGAAGCAGTGGCAGGCAGATCTCTGAGTTTGAGGCCAGCCTAGTCTACAGAGTGAGTTCCAGGACAGCCAGGGCTACACAAAGAAACCCTGTCTCAAAAAACCAAAACAGAAAGAAAATCCAGACACGCAGAAGGCTTTATGAGAAGAGGTAAGAAGTCCAACCCGCTTTGCCTCCTATCTTTCCGCTAACCAGAATAAACAGCTGTTTCACTCTTTCAGGGATTTCCGATTTAAATTCTCCCAATGCTCATCTTTAAGTTACCAGATGATAGACTCGTGATTCCGCTTCTTCATGTATTAACTGTTTTCCGCAGAACAGAACAGGTTTCCGGCTGCATAGGAGAGAAGGAAGACGGCTGTCCTAACTGCCCTCATCAACACTAGCACTCCCACCGCGTAACATGCGTCAATGTCCGCCAAGCCAAAGCCTTTCTTCAGTCACCCTATCCACAGACATCACTTTCTGACCCCTGTGGTGTGGTTTCAGAATCCCTACCGGTTGGCCAGGTCATAAGGAGGCTCCCTCACTGGAACATCTCCATAGCATTCCGTGTTCCGCCAGCCAGTGCCCACTCTCTGCCTCACATGTATCAATCATTCCTCATTCTTAGACCCTGTCTTCCTTAGCTTCCATCACCAAAGAAAGATGTCATCTCTCTTCATCCAGGCTATGGTGAAAGCTCCAAGTCATGTCTGCTTCATGCTATGTATTCCACATACAAGATAAAAATAAAACAAATGTGATTCTTCAAGACTACGGTTTAGTGCAAGAACATAGGTGAAACTCAGGTACCTATGCCCTAGCTGACGCCATGAAAATGGGTCATTCAGGGTAGAAGGATAAACAGCTGTGAGAGGGATGGCTATTGAATGATGGGCACATGGATGCCTCTCTGTGAGCCTTGTCTGTGCTGCCCACTAGCTAGATGGTCACTGGCTAATCAGTTAATGTCTACAAGTCCAGCTTCACTTAGGTAATGTGGGCACAATGTTCCCTAAGCTGCAGGAGCTCCATCAGGAACAAATAAGTCACAGGAGTTCTGGGCAAAGCCAGCTGCAGCCCCTGGCCTACCGGTAGCAGGTGTTCAGCAAAGGAGGAAGGTGAGGGAGGATTAAGGAGAAATCGATCAGCAGCTGGACCCTAAGCCCAGGACTATGGCAGAAGCAAGATAATCCCCCCAGGGGGTGGATAAATAGAGTCAAGTCTCATGGGAAGTTCAAGAGCAACTGAGTTGGCAGGGAGTAGTCATGAAGCCTAGAGAGAGCGGTTGGGAGAGCAGAGGAAGCATGTAAACAGAATAACAGGGGAGGAGAGAGAGAGAGATCAAAAGAGGAACTCCACCAGCCAGGGCACTCGGGCTGCAAATAGACTGTCCTATTAACACCATTTGTGGAGCAGACATTTAACTAACATAAGAAGTCTGGAGGGTGGTGCTTCCAAAATTATCCCTGTGGCTCACCAGTGTCCCCAAGAACCCAGGATTTTTCCATCCTTTCTTTACCAAATCCTGAGCAATTAGTTTTCTCCCACTCAGAGTTGCGATCCAGCTGCTGCTGCACCAAACACCACAACTTACATGCATCTACAGTGGAAAGAGGGAGGAAAGAAGGGAGGGCTGGAGGGAGGGAGGGAGGGAGGGAGGGAGGGAGGGAGGGAGGGAGGGAGGGAGGGAGGGAGGGAGGAAGAGCTCAGTTCCTTTTCTCAGGGAATTAATCTTTCCCAGGAGCCTCCTCTCAGATATTGCTGTTTCGCTGCCCAAGTCTACTACCAATGAAGCCAGGACATACCATCAGACCCAAAACAGGAGGGAGTCAAGGGAAAAAGGCTTGACTATAGCCAGACTGGGTGTGTGACCAACACCATCTGCCATGCTATTTGGATATGAAATGTGGGAACCATCACACTGAAGATGGGACAGGGGAAAGAGGAGAGTGGGACCCTTAAAGGAGACAGAAAGGACCTGTGCTGGAGGGGAGAACGGGTTGTCTCTTTCTCTACTGTGAGCAAGAAGGGAAGTCTAGAAACAGATTCTGAAAACCAGCTTGCGTTGCCCGGAAGACTAGTAAACCCCTTTCACACCTGATCTCTCTCTCCAGCTCAAGGAAACAGATTCTGAAGAGAACGTAGTCACTTTTCACATTAGCAAAGCCAGACATGAGACAAGGCCTGGTGTCTCACACCTGTAATCAGGAAGGAAACAGGATGGTGAGCCAACCTGGGCTACAGAGGGAGACCCAGTCTCAGCAAAACAAAGTAAAACCAAACCAAAACCCAAAAGGTGGCTGCTTCAGGAAGCACAGTGAGCCACTCTCTGAGGATCAACAATTCAAAGGACACACAAGGCTGACTCTGGGAAACAACAGGGACATTTTTGTTCCATTGGCTGATGGGAACACCAGCTGCCTCAGCCATTTTGGAAAACAAACCATAGCCCAAATTCCCCTTCTAGATTCACAACTCTGCATATGTGTGTCCAGTTATAGACAGGAATATTCACTACGACACCTTGTAAAAAAATAATAAAGCTGAAAACAACCAAAATACCTTGAGACTGGAGTGGGAATAGTGAAGTCACTGGGGAATGATCACCACACGGTGGTAGCAACACGTATTACATTAATTCCAGATGACACTGTTCAGAAAAGGCAAACTGTAGCAGAGCTTATCTGGCATGATTATTTATATAAAGTTTCACAACATGCAAACATTGAAACAATACTCTACTTAGATAAAAATTAGCATGAACGGAAAACTGCCAAATAGAGGAAAACCACACACATGCACCCCAAATTCAAGCTTGGGAACATGTCATGAAATAATCTTTTGTACACTACAAAGATGTGTCTTTGTCAAGGCACCTTCCGATTGGTTTAATAAAAGAGCTGATTGGCCAGTAGCTCGACAGGAGCTATAGGCAGGACAGCAAGACACAGAGGATGCTGGGAAGGAGGGCAGAGTCTCAGGAGTCTCAAGAGACACAGAGAGACACAGTGCCATGTTGAAAGAAAGTTCAGACATATGGCAGAGAGTAGATAAGAAATATGGGTTAATTTAAAATGTAAGAGTTAACTAGTAACCAGCCTGAGCTATTGACCAAGCATTTATAATTAATAATGAGTCTCTAAGTGGTTATCTGGGAGCCACTGCCAAGACACAGAGAAACTCCCCCTACAGGGACAAGCACACTGAGGACTCCAGATAGGGAGGGAACATTTTTCCTTTAAGTTGAGCAGAGCCACACAGGCTTTTGTTACATTCTTATTCCTTATAGACTGCATAGCCCAGACACATCCTTTGTACTCCTGGAAAAATTAATTACAATAAAAAAAGAATACAGAACATTGAAATGGGATGGGGTGGGGGTGGCCTATTTGGGGGCATAAATGATGTCCACTGCACCACAATCTGCAGAACCCAGCAGCTACAGGACCAGCCTGGACCAGTTCTGCTGGGGTCAGGTAGACTGAGTGATCTCCACATTTAGGGGAAGGAGAAATGGAGAATAGAAACAGGGCCAGGCTGTCTAGATACTTCTCCTTGGAGAGTTAAAGGTGAGAATAAGGAGAAAGACCCGGCGTCCCTTCCTAGAGGCCTTGCCCTGAGTCAGGCTTGGCCATTTTGGTAGCTCTCACTCAAGCTTCCTGCTTAGTTCAGAAATGGGCACTGATACCTCCACCCCAACAGAGAGAAGGCTAGAGCTGAACCAAATAGCTCGCTCGTGTCTCAGGCAGTGATCCCCCAACCTCAACTCAAGTTCAATGACCTTCACCCATCCCACCAAATGGACTCTACCACCCAGGGCTTCGGACACCCTTCCTCTATCCCGGAAACCCCAGGTCTTCCCCTGGAGTGTCTTGCCTGCTTCCAAGTCTCAGCTCTAGTGTCACTTTCTAGCAGGCCTTTCTTGGCCACTCTGATTCACTGAGGGTCCTTTATTGCTCTCCTTGCTTGAACTCTGACCCTTGCCCTGCCCTAGCTTCAACTGCCAACATTACGAAGATGTTCTGCTTGAGTTCCCTGTAAGCTCTTCAGTGCTTGCCAGAGTATCTCATACTAGAACATCCCATAGTAGAGCATCACATACTAGATCATCCCATATTAGAACATCACATAATAGAGCATCCCATAGTAGGACATCACATACTAGAGCATCCCATAGTAGAACATCTCATAGTAGGACATCAAATACTAGCGCATCCCAGACTAGAACATCTCATAGTAGGACATCATATACTAGAACATCCCAGACTAGGACATCCTAGACTAGAGTGTTGCATACTAGAACATCCTATACTATAGTACTGCATACTAGAACATCCCAGACTAGAACATCACGTACTAGGACATCACGTACTAGGACATCACATACAAGGACATCACATACCAGACAATCTCATAGCAAAGATCAGGCACACAGAAAGTGTTGATTAACTTTATGCAATGAATAAAAGGCTGAACTTAACTGGGAAAAGGCAGCTAATTGGAGCCAGATGAACAGATTCCACCAATGTCCCAGCTCAGAGCCTCTACCAACCTCTTCTATGCCCAATCCGATACATGGCCCTCTCCACCTTCAGGCTGGTATCCAGACACCCATGAAGAGAGGAAGTAAGACCTTCCAGATGGCCCTGTTGCTGACAGTTCATGGCTCTCCTGGTGGGTAGATGCACCTCCACCCCCACTCCTAATGAGATTTTTCCATTAGTTTCTTGGCAGCCGCCATCCCAGAAAGATACCCAAAATTGAAGGATGTTCAGAGATGAAATATCTGAAACAATGTGGACAAGGGGATGGAGTAATTACATCAGATGAAAAGAACCACACCCCGGCCTTTGCCAAGTTAAATGGGATCAGATAATTACATTCAAGGCCTTCCAGGGTGTGACACCCTCGGAGGGAGAGGGTGCACTGGGGATGACGTGGAGGGTAGAATTATGTGAAATGGAGCAAAATGAATCCCTGAGAATTTTAGGCTTAGTGGTAGGAACCATTTCCTCCCTGGAAGGCTCTGAGGTTGGGCACAGTTCTAACCGGAAGGAGTAGTGCCACCCTGCTGGCTTTTAAGCCCATTGTGAGCCAGATCTAGAGTCTGAACATACAGCTGCCTCACTCTAGAAGGCTGAGACCGAGTGTTGGCCAGAAGTAATCTGGAGGTAGGGTAGTATGGTGGTCATCCGAACAGGCTTTCAGTTAGAGAGCCTGTGCCTGTCCCAGCCGCCAGATTTCTGGCATGTGGCTGTGAGTGTGTGGTTCAGGAGCCTGGGACCTTGAGCTCTACCTCTGGAAAACAGCAACAACCCTAATGCTATATAGCAAATGGGGACAGGAAATGCAACTTACGACAGCTCCTGTCAGAGTGCTGGGTGAATGGACAACACATTTGGTACCAGGACTAAACCTTGAACAGAGACACACACTGGATCTTTTGGGGGATCCCATCTGTATCAGGATAGGGACAGAGTTGGATCCATAGA